TTATAGCAGAAATACTCTGCATATCAGTTCTACTCAAATCATATCAAAAATTATTTAGAATAAAAGACCAACACATATTCCATGATGAAGTCCTTGCATTAAAATTCACTATGTCTAGATTTGAGTACAAATAATGCCATTGATATCTGTATAATTATAAGCATTGCTAAAAATTCAAAATTTTTAATTGCATGTTTAATGTGATACCTCATGAGCATACTTTCATCATACTTTCTATAAATCAAAACATCAATGTAATTTATTTTGTGTCACATTACATAATGATTTTGAATGATACATTCATAAGTGCACATGAGGGACCATAATAAAACATTTTATTCCCTTAAATATGTTCAATCCTTTATCCCCCCCCCCCACACTCTTTTAACTTGAGAACTTGGGAAATTGTAATACATTTTTGAGGAAGAGGCTCTCGAAAACATTCGGAACCATATTAAGGTTTTAAAATAAAATCAATTGAAGGGCTAGTAACTCGATAAGCCCAACATGTTCCCAGTTGTTCGTAATGTTAATATCTCTATATTGGACAAATGTGAATTGCTTCTTTCCCAAGCACTTTATTAATATGAAGAAGACGTACATAGTAACAAGATAATCCACACTTTCACCAAAATTGAGATATACTTACAAATAGTAAGAGGCTTGCTGTCGTTAGTGTCTCATTACTGCCCGAAGCCTTTCAAAGGTATTGCTTGATAATGAATATGTATATCATAATAATATTGATACTGACATACATACAAAAAAATTCTACACTTACTGTAACATCAGTTATCATTTAATTCTCCTTGTAGTGTTATTTACTAGTAAAATGTCACATGTAAATAAAAAAGGTTTAATGGGCAACAGAGCGGAATAGTTGGCATCCCCTCTTCTTTTGGCAGTGGGTGCCTGTGGACACTTTCATGTTAAGCCAGCTCATCAGGATTTGCAGAAAAGGGTAACAATTAATTTTTGTACTTCTCACCGTATTTTTAGGAGTGGCAGACCAGCACCCATGCCTCTGCCCTGTCCCAGTTACGCCCACATCCACTAACTTCGTACCAAATTATCGGTCAAGGCAGTCACCAACGTAGCATGATGGACAACAATCACCTTCAGCTTTCAGCTTACAGAAAGGTAGGAAATGCATACAATGTCTCTTCAATGTCAAGATATACTGACTTCTTTGTAATTGCAAGTTTCTAGTAATGATAAGTCTTCTAAAAACAAAAACAAAAAACATGAGTAATTCGAATTATGTTCACCAGTTTATAACTCCAAATAGTTTTCATGAGTTTACTACTTCTCTGTTTTCAAGGATCATTGGCATGTAGTAACAAGATCTTGAAACGAAGAATATTGAGATCTAGCATTTCCAGTATTAATAAAGAAATATCAATCCAGAATGTTTGTTTACCATTTTTGAAAAGCGGATATACTATTTTAACTGCCACTATTTTGCAACACACAAATTCTCAATACTCGAATATAAATTTCATATAACACCTCTGATAGGACATTCTACAAAATATTAACAAGATTTTTTATGCAATTTTTCTTTTTGCTACCCATTAAATATTTATTTCTAATAAGTAACAATATTTCGTAACAATGACGGACATAAATACCCAGCATTTTCAGATGATAAACTGTATAATAACTAAAAAATCCAAGATCTGCTAGGATAAAGTTAAAATTTACATCAAATTATATTTTTATTCAAAACATGATCACAATTTCTACAGTAACGTATTATAAAATATTGAGACAAAGAAAATTACATACATCATTTACAATTACATTAATATGAAAATATACATTTCAACAAATTTGAAAATTCCAGTCTCCTGACAGATTTATTCATGATACACTTGTTCCTTTCAGGATGTATTTCGTACCATTAGTGCACCCACGTCAAATTGGGATCACAGATAAAAAAGAAACTGCAATGGAAAGAACAGTATTGTATGAAAACTAGATTTAATATATTTCATAAGTAAGAATTGGTAAGAAGAATCTATTTCATTAAATAAGAATTTTCCATTCAGAATAGCACCACATCTTAATTTTTTTTACACTCCCTGAAGTTGGATGAATGACATTCTTATGTTAATGTTGAGACATGAAATGATTTCCATTGCTTGAAGGAAAGTGACAAATGTTTTGCTTAAAAATAATCTACTGAAAAGTTTATTTCCCAAAACGGTAGATGTCTGAATTCTACTAGTTTTATGCCAGGGACTAAAAGTATAAGACAGAGAAAAAGAAAAAGGAGGGAAGGATAGAAAAAAAATCAATTTCTAATTTTTGTTTCAAAACATTTCACAGAGAAAAAAAGTAACTCATCCTGTGATTTCAAAACTCTCTCCTGAAAATTAGCCGTGTTTGACTCACATTCTTAGATGATAGAATTAAATCATTAGATACAATTTTAAAATAATAACATTCTCACAGCTTCATAACATGAACTCTAAATTACCAAAATAGATTTCAGAGTAATATGTTAACAAATGTGCAACCAAAAGTAAAGATAACAGTGCAATTCTATAAATGTGTAGTTGGATTTTCTTTTTAATATACCTGCATACACAGTGAATAAATATTCCAGTCAAATTTCCTTTCTTTTCAGAGCATGGCTTTTAAAGTCTGTTTAAAGATGATAGTAATTACAAAGCTGATGTAATTACTGTCATCAGTAATGAGATAAGTTAAACATCATTACCTGAAAAGAAGGGATTTGATTTAATCATTTATTCACTACACCTACAAATAAATTAATATACTCTCTCTCTCTCCCACTCAAGAAAATAAATTCTTTAAAATGCTGCAAAATGTTTACAAGGATATTTCAATAGTGGTATTAACATGTATCATTTAAAGTATTTCTGCATTTTTTCTATATTTTCAATAAAAATATATCATATTAAAAAAAAAAACGTATGAGGATTTACAATCTTTAATTAAACACTGATGTTTCTTGATCAAAACACCAAGTAGAATTCGTTTCGAGATCGGATAATTTTCTCACCAATGAAAGACACAAATTAAAAATTCTAGTATACTAAAACAAACGATATTTATATTTTGTTAATACAATAATCAAAAATACGTATCCTTTTTAAGGATTACTTAACTACTAATCTAATGAACTGAATTTAATGAAGGTTAAAAATAGCTGTGATAGTTTCTTACTTTTACATTTCATCATACAAATACAGATACACTGCTAACTGCACAGAATATATATGAACACCGAAACTGGACACATTAATCTGGAAAGCAAGAACTTCACAAACATTTACACTATTTACACAAATATAACAACAAATAAACACTGATACACTTTCTGGCACTGATAAAATATATTACTATAGAATTCCAACATATTTAAAGCATTATCCAAAGTCAACAATATTCAAAATAAATTAGTTATCGTTATCTCAGAATCTTTTTAATCAAGCAAACCCTCAATATTTGGAAAACCATTACTAGGAATACAACCTTCCAATTTGAATGACTAATTTAGAGCAGAAATGCAATTCTCTCACAGCAAATCAGAGAAATAATAAATCACATAATGTAATAAATATCAATCTCTATTACTTCTAATTTCAATCTCTGTATCCTATATTTCCACTTTTTTAACTCTTCAAGTCACACGGGGGCCACTGTCCTGACATGTTATAACTATCAAAAGTAACATATTGATTCTTCTTCTGTAATTCTGAGTTCCTTTCAATAAAATATTGACCCACCTTTTAAGAAAAGAGAATTTTTTGTTTCTGTTACATGTTCACATTTTGCCTGAAGGTGAAAGCATAGGGGACTACAATAATTAGGCCACAGATGATCTGAATTGTTCATTTTACCATAATGTAAGAGAGCTGTTCCTAAACTTAATGTACAATAAGAGATATGGATGAGCCATTGATGTATTCAACATAGATTTTTGAAGCCGAAGTTTTTTTAAACTTAATGTATATATGGTTGATATTTTATTTTTTAATGGAAAAAGTATCATCATAATAAAAACCTATAATATTCAGACATCCATATATTGAACATTCATCGCATCAAAGTACAAATATTGTACATAAATGTGATCTATATTATTTTTTTAATAATCTGATCAGATAATACAAGTTTTGTTAATTGTCCTCAGCAATTTTTAGCTATGTTTTGTCAGTTAAATCTTATTTAAAAATTAATAAACGCACCTACCTTCAAATTAAATCCCTCTACATGAATATTAACAGTTACTAATCCAATTTTAAGAATATCAATGGTTTAGGGGAATGTTTTAACTTTGAACATTGATATTTTGTTGTCTTGTTGTATCCAGGTAGGTAAAAGCATTAGTTGCTACATTTTACACCATTGTTTCTAGTGTTCACAATGTAACCAAAAAAACAAATACAGCAAAATTAGTCTAAGCCGAAAATATGCCTTAACCAGAAAATTTCTCAGGCCCGTGAAGTTATATGGTATTTTCCACAGCATAAAACAGAATCTGTCCATCATGGAAACAGAACAGTTTTTCGTGCCCTGTAGAGGGTGGGAGGATCTTTATAAAATGGAATTGCTGCGAATTTTATGCGATTCACACAGATACGAGATATTCTTAATGTAACGAATGCATCTGTAAGTTCGTTTAAAATTCTCTATCCCACATGATTCAGTCATGGCAACCATTCTATGAAGGAGAAGGGTTTCAGCTGGAAGCGTAGAATTCTACCTTGGGGTCACTAGTCCCTCAAGGCATAGGCCATGGGGGAATTCTCTCCCTTCTGCTTTCTGGGCATGGGAAGGTGTACCGGCATGGCTTCAATTCTCCCTGCCCATCATTCAAAATCGTAACCCCTCTGTCAGAGACTCATTGCAAAAGTTCAGGCTAGGGTATCAGAAAATCATAGTACTCTGGGATATGATGCATTGTGCTTTGAAAGTCTGCAAGCAGTACGATTTCAGCCATTAAACAGTGCGGTGGGGAGTATTTTTGAGTTTCACGACCAGCTTAACAGTGTGAAAACTATAAAACTCTGGCATTCTCTAACATTAGATGAAAAGGTGGAAGTAAGGGACGCTCAAAAGCTGTCAGTGAAGAATGTTTAATTTTCATTTATTGACGATTTCTTCCGTAAATGCATTATATGTAAATCTATTTTAATAATCATAATAAAATCATATAATATTTACTTTACTTTAATTACTTCTTTACTTACATTAATTTTCTAGTTTCAGAACAGGAATATCAACATCACAAGTGTTGTTAAATGGACAACTCTGCATACAACTGAAACCTCCCTAAACCCAAACTTTTTTTTCCTGATTGATTCCGGCTTAGACTTTGCTGTATTACTGTTGTGTCCACAAGCACATGAATATATCCATTTGTGCATTTATGGTACTTGAAACAATTAAATTTTAATGATTTAATTTTGATATTTTAATGTAATAATATTATGACGAGTACACAACTTGAAAGCTAACAAAAATGACCAGCACTATTGGTAACTTTAAAGGAGATTTTCCAAAGATGCAAGTCCTACCCATGTGACTACCATCATCAAACAGCATCCAACTTCTGACATGAATCAGTGAAAAATGTATCATTCTCAGAGAGCAATACCCAAAAATTTAGTCAAGGACCAGAAGGAAAAGTAATTTTAAATATTAAGCACACAAAGTAACCCAGAAATTGCACATATTTTGTCAACAATTTTTGTTTACTAACTTCATCTTACATTCAAAACAATAATTTTGTTTACTTCATCTTACATTCAAAGAAATCATTGAATTCAGCGTAATATATTTTGAATACTACACAACTCTCACTTTGAATAGTACAACTGTTACATACATAGTTAAAATACATTCAATCATCGTGACTATCCTACATTGAATTTCTTTTAACATCCACAAGATTTAAATTTCCACAATGAACATCCATATGACATTAACACATTTTAGAATTGCATAAATTTGTTTTCATACAATCACAACAATTCACAATAATAAATTTTAAATACATTCATGAACAGTAAAACATTTACTGTATATTCATTAAAACACGAAACATGAATATAAACAAGTTAAAACTACTAAGGGAGTACTTATGAAACGAGTCATCAGATGAACTGTTCCAATTTGTAAAAGTAAAAAAAAACTTAACGTAAACTATTCCACAAAAGATACCTACACACAGGCAAAATTTTACATTTATCTGAACATTCAGAGTTGTCTGCACAATTATATCTGTTAAGTCCCATCACAACAGGAAATATCGTTCAAATTTAAAATAAATATTCATAAAATTTTAAAAAGTTTGGAAAATAAACATCAGCCTCGGATGGCATAACAGCTGAAGATTCATGGCTGTGCAGGGGATGTCACAGCCTAAATCCACTTTTAAATATTTCAGGTCATATTGAGACTTTCCTTGGTATGAAATGTGCAGAGGTGGACCATGCAGAGGTTTACCTAGAAGATCTCATTCCACCAAGCTGCCAGTTGGTAGAACGATCAACTCTCGTAAGCACAGGCCACCTCTATGCATTTCATTTTGAGGAAGGTCACAATATGATTAACAACATTTTGGCAAGTGTCTGTATCTCCCTGGCAACCTAGAATCTACTCACCATGGAAGCCTTTGTTTTCATTTGACATAACATCTAGACTCCAAATCATACTCTTGTCAATAAATATCTATTTATTTTATGATCTGAAATGAATTTCCCGAGTCACTTATAGCATATTAAAATAAACAATTTGAAAACTAGATAAAGAATTGATTGATGTGACTGAAATTTTTTAAATTGCAAATTGTATCATTCCACTAATTCTCAAGGACAATTGTACATTATGATCTTCATTATGGCGAAAAGAAGAAATTTATCAGTAAGTTGTTGGGCACCCCAGATAAAGTATATCATGCACATGGGACTTACAGAATATTTTTAAATATTTAAATTATTCCGTGTAACACTGGACATATCAAATCATCTATGATACAATATATTTCACAATTCTTTTTTAACATTTACATAAAAGTTCTCTAAATTAAAAGGGAACACAATATATTTACAAAGATAAATGAAAACGAAATGAAGATAATTCAGTACAGAATTGCTTTCAGTTATTTAATTTGTACTTTTTCTTGTAAAACTTTCATTTTTTTTAATGACATGCATTACTTAATGCATTTTTCTTTACTTCTTTTCTTTTGATACCTCTATACTCTTTCTATCGTGGTTTAATTAGTAACCAAATATCAGCAGAAATTTTGTCTCCTTTTTCTATAATTACTTTTACATATGACTTCAATATCATATATTTCAATTTTGTAAGTATGAAAATATTAATAAAATACTGTTAAGTAAACAATTCTATACCGTTACAAATTCATTAAAAATTCTGCAAAGCAGACAAAGACACAGACATTACAAAACATGGCATTCACATGCCCCACAATTTGTTTTCTTGATTTCATTATCATTTATTTCCTCAAAACAACACTGAAATGTGAATTTGAATTTAAGGAGATGATTCCCCAGTTGTTCTCCTGGATGCGATCCTTTTATTCCTCTGCTTAGGTTTTCTAGATTCCCCATTCACTGCATCAGTTCCATTTACTTGTTCTGTTTTCACATGGGTGAGAGTGGATGAAGACTCTGGGTTAGAATCAGTGCTCATAGACCTACAACTCCGTCTTCTTGAAGATTCGGAACCACTTGTAGTCCTACTCCTAGAGCTTGTAGTTGGTGTATCTGAATTTCTAAAAGAGGTGTCACAATTCAGTAACGCTTCATCAAAGCTGCGCTTCTGAGAATCCCTGGTAGCATTCTGACGGTTTGGTGTGCGAGATCTAGCTCTTGCATTGTTTTCTGATGCTGGTGTTTCTAGGTTAGAGTCTGTGCTCATTTGCCTTGAACTCTGCCTTCTCGAAGTCTCGGAACCAGTTACGCTTTTGTTTGGGGAGCTTACTGGTGTTGAACTTGCTTCCCCAACAGGTGAAGCATCATTCGGCTCACCATGGCTATGGTTCTGTAAATTTCTAGAAGCAGACCGTTTAGTTGGCGTACAAGATCTTGATCTTATACTGTCTACATTACTTCTAGTTGTGCTGCAGCGCCTAGTGCGACCAGAAGGGTGTTCATTCTCTGGTGGACTTTCAACTAGCTGGGAATTGCTTTCTGTTTGAGGAGATTCACTACTTTCTTTGGTTTCAGATGGTGAATTATTGGTACTAGATTTACCATCTGATACCATTGTTGATGCTGGATCATTGGTACCAGGTGAACCGGTGCCCTGCGTTTGAGTACTGTTTTGGGGATCCCCATGCCGAATGGACTTACGGAGATGATTAGTGGCCAGCTCAACCAGCAGTGGGCGCATGTGATCCACCTCACCGCCATCCTCCTCATCAGAGTCTTGAGACTGGGCACGGTTCTTTTCCTCCTCCTCAAATCTCTTCATGTCAAAGAGGATCTCTTCTGCCATGGTTTTATCCTCAGCAAATATCTCTTCAATCTTCAAAACAAAAATAATAAAAAACATTAACAAGATCCAGAAAAACTAAAAAATAATTTGAATCAAAATGATTAAAACACTGAAGAAGAAAAAAAAACACAAAATTAAATAATGTAACAATCTCCCTTCAGACCATCATAGTCATGGAAGACCACTAGAAATTTTAAAGCATTAATACTTACACATTCATTGACTAATTTTTTGATCAATTCATTCATTCAATATTATTATCGTTAATTCATTCAAAAATACTGTTACATTGAAACATATCAATAGTAAATTATATAAAAAAAGTCATATTTTAAGCACAAAATATATGCAAAATTTAAATTACCTCATTCTTGTAATCTTTCAATAAGCCTCTTAGATAGCTCATAAGATTTGTGAGTAAAGGTGACATTATTGCTTGTAATTTTCCTTTTAGCTGAACAATTATTGGTATTATAATTTCTACAACTTGCTTTTTAACACACTGAAAATACATACATATAACACAATATAATAAACAAATATAACAATACTTGTTATATAAGACATGTGAAAATTAGCAACAATGCTAAGAAACAAATCAAGTAAGCAAATATATAAATTTGAATTTGTAAAATTAAGAAATGAGCCAATTATATTTAATTATAATTGATGAAATGATACCTGTGAAATAATATTTTTCTTTGCTGTATTTACAGCAGCAGTCACTCTTTCTGCATCATCAGTAGCTGGTTCTTCTTCAGACTGTGTTCTTAAAGAATGGAGACAAATTTCTTCACAAGACAACACAAAGAATGCATCATGCAATACGCTTTCACCCTTTTCATCCAAGGAGACAGTCTCATTGGAGACACCACCTGAAACGGAACATGTTCAATTTAATCTTCATAATAAATAAATACTCAAAAAATCAACTCCCGAACCTCCCTGTAAGTAAAAAACCCTTCGCTCCTAACTTTCTTTTCAAATGCCTTTACTATCTCCTCTTGTATTTGGGGAAATTAATCAATAACACAAGTCTTAAAGTCATCTTCGTCCTTAAAATTCTGAAGTTCACACAGCTTCTCCACACACAAACCATAAAATCTCAATTTTTTAAAAATTTTCTTCTGAGACTGGTTTATACTGTCATAAAAGTAACATGCAGAAAGCTGTTTAAGAATGGGTTTATAAAGATCTGTTTTTGAGTACAAAATAGCTAAAGTGCCTGGCTATGTGATATGTGTGAGTATTATGTATGTACTGTAAATCTATTAATTATATACTTTTGTATCAGCATCACACAATGATTTTAAAATGGCTTAACCAGCAAAACGCCTCTTCTGAAATTGTGTATATTTCCTATTTTGGAAACAATAAATAGATAATTCATGCACACACCTTGGTAACATCTATCTACTAATCTTTCCTAAAATAATGTCTTTACTAAAATAAGGAGGTTTAGCCTACAATAGAAAAAGATAGAAAAATGTTTTATTAGTCTTTCCTCAGCCTAAATTTGCCTTTAGAAGAGTCTTTGGAGAATCATCTTCAAAATTACTCATGTTATGGATTTACAACTCGATATCATGCAACATACTAACTAATGATGCCTTAATTGGTACAAGGAGGCCAAAAAAATAAACGGAATAAAGCAGGAATTCGATTGAAATATGAAGTGAGAAGCAACACTACTATGTATGAATTCAAAGAACATAATTAATAATTTTTGTAAAAGTGATCACTTAACCATTATATTTGTTCATTAACAATTAAATGGTAATATACAATATATTTTTTGAAAGTTTTCAGAAGAGACCTTTTTGAAATGAACTTTTTAATAATCTATTATAAAAATGAAACTCATTTCTCTTTCTAAAGTTTTTTTGTTTAAGTTTAAATAGTAAATAATATTTAAACTCTCATTTGTTCTAAAACACTGTTCTCATAAAGAACGTTATAAGTATTAAATTAGCCATTATAAGTATAATTATTTAAAGAAAAATAAATACAGGTAAATATTCAATCATTAAATTATAATTGATTTGGAATAAAACATTTTTCAAAAATTTGCACTATTGAGCCAGTATGTGAACATTCTAGGAAAAATATTTTACTATTATAAATTCTTCGTACCTAAAATATCTACACAAATTTTATGAACTGCCTGCATCCTATGTTCATCAGACATATGTTCACACATAAAGCGGTACAAAGTTTGTCTTTTAGCTTCATTTTCTGCACCGGCCAAATTAAAAAGATGAGCCTCTTGAGCAGATAGTTTGACTTTTGAGTAGACTGGATGATTCTGTAAAAATCAGGAACTCAAGTTAGCACAACTTTTAGTCACAAACATTAATTAAAAAAATATTTTCTTGGTTACTTTTCAAATTCACATTACACAAAGATAAGCATTTCATAACAAGACAGCATCAAAAGATGAATTGGATGGCCAATGAAACAATTTACCACTAATATGACTCACAACAGGCCCCAAATCCTAAAGTGCAAAGAAAAAAAAGGAGTTCAGGAAGCAGGTGGAGGAGGAGAAGGTAAAGGGGGAGGGGAGAAGAAAGGGAGGGAGGAGGAAGAGGGTGGGAGGAGGGAGGGGAGGGGAGAAGGAAAGGAAGAGGAGGGAAGGGGAGAAGGTAGGAGGAGGGGAGGGGAGAGGAGGATGGGGAGGAAGGGATTAGGGGGAGGGGGATTTGGGAGTGGGAAGAAGGGGGGAAGGTAAGTTCAGCTACATATTCACAATTGTAATCTTGGAGACAGCTTAGAGTTGCTACTCTTCTAATATTATCACAGTACCCAACATGTGTGTTTGGGAGAAATACTGGATTTCAGAGCCAGGAAGAACATTTGTCACACAATTCAAAGTAGCCAAAATAAAAATTTTATGTAAGGAGAAAAAATTACCACACATTTGCTTTAACTTAGAAACACATACCCAAGAAACTACACTGTTGTTGGAAGAACATCTGCATTACAATTAACTTTGTATGAATACAATCAACTTTATATGAGCCTTTCAGTAGGTTCAACATCGTCATGCAACATCCATTAGATTAACTACAGCCTCTTTCAATATTTGCTTATAATCAATGGCAGACATTTGTGCAGGCAAACTAGGCAGCTGCCTAGGGACCCACACAATATTAATAAAGTAGTACAATAGGGTTCCAATAAATTTTCAAACACAAGGTTCATAAATATCAAAGGCAATTTTCAACTATTTTACTTGTACAGCTTTTTAAACATATTATTTAATTCAGATTTTCAAATATTTGGAATACTGAAATATTAATTATAAATATGTAGAAATTATGAAACAAATAATAATAACATATGTAACAAACAATAATATTGCTTGCACTAGACATTTAGAGACCTGGCAACATGATCTACAAGAGGAATTCATCTCATCCACCACTGCACCCACGTATTGACAGAAAACAAATACAATCTTGAGTGCTGTGTAATCTCCCAGAAAGTGTAACTGGCATTCTCCATGCGTAATATGTTTTCCTTTTGTTTCTTGTTCGCACGTATACACCCCCACCCCCACTGCGAACAATGCAGTACAGGAACTCAGATGGAACAAATGACATGTTACAGTTCCAACAACCTAACTTGTCCAATCTGACAAAAATTAAATTAATTCTTTGGTCATTCCATTATTTTCTTGTAATTACAAGGCTTCTAATACAATTGCATAAATATAATTATTAAAATAATATTAATGATTATTTAACCCTTCAATATGGAGCCTACGTTGGATGGGGTAGCATTCCAAAACAAGTATAGTGAAAGGGGATGTGTGCCAGTGCGGCTGCAGGTAGCTAGCCTACTTCACCACTAGTCACCACTATGTCTGGCACAGCATCCCTCTGCACAAAGGAAAATCTCTGATGGCTCCCCGTGAACAGAGGAGGAACAAAGTGCCTTCTGAAGATAGCAGTTCATGTTGAAACATTAACTGAGTTCAATATCTTAGAATTGGAAATGTATAGCCCCTTGGTCTCTACCCATAAACTGAATCTGGGATAGCCTATAGATACATTTGGAACAGATTTTAGCTGCAGCCATTATAAACAAATAAATACAGTTATAAAGTGTGAGCAATAGAAATTTAACAAACATACCTCGTATTTATTGTAATAGAAAATACTTTCAACAATATTCTGATACATGATACTCTTGTTTCGTGTAACCACACACTGAGTCATAAAATAGTTAGCTAACTGTGCAATATTTTGCATTGGGTCAACCAACATGGACATCATATGGAATAAAAGTGCCCCTCTCAATTTCAAGAAATCTTGCTGCAATAGTCGCACAAAGACTGTCACGGTATGATGCCGCACAATGTCATTGCTGTCTTTCAAGCAAACGCACATTTCAGGTAGAAGTGGTTCAACAATGGCTGTAAACCTATTGAAGGAAAAATCAACATTGTAATAACAGTAACTATTGAAGTTTGTTTTTCTAAACTACAATATTAAATACTACAGACCATCATGAAGAACTTTCCACTTTACACAGTCCATCATGAAGAACTTTTAAAATTTCTTTAAAAGTTACTGATGAGTTAATGCAAGAAGTGATTAGAATTCAAACAAAGATCAAAATCAATGGTTGTGATCCCCCCCCCCCTCAAAAATAAACCAAAAACATGCCTTTCAATAACAACAAAGAACTTTGATAAAGTATGAAGTTCAATTTACTAAGTAGTAGCAGAACTAAAGAAACAATATTGAATTCAAAATTGACTATAAAATTCACAAGTTTGCTCAACTGCCAAGCACTGCAATCAGTTCACAATTAACGGCTTCAAAGAAAACTTTTTACAATTTGTATCAAACATTCGGAAAATTTGAATTATGAAAGACATAATTTTTGAAACACAATTTATTTCAAAAAATTCAAACCTTTATGGCACTAACAAACAAAAAATTAGTGGGTCCACAATAGAACATACTTTCTCATGTTATTAGAAACAGTTATGTAATGTTATTGTATTACACCTTCTATCTACTTCAGTCATCACTTGAAAAATACAAACAATATAATTCAAAATTATGTGAAAACTTCATTTTGTTTTCAGCCCCAGTAATGCTTTTACTGGGGCTTTTACTAATGCTTTTACTGTAACTTTTCTTTGGTTTAAATTTATTTTCTGGCAAAATGCCAGGAAACCAGCTATCTAATAAATAATAGTGATAAAAGTGATTGCTCTTGGTTGGTCAGGTGATGCCGCCTCAAAGATTGTGATGTTGACATTTTTACGCTTTTGACATGGTGTTCCACAGGGCTTGTCTGCCAATCCTCAGCAATACACTGTGGTGAGGCAACACTGCCTTGCACCCCTCCTGGTCCCTTTTACTCTGCCCAGGTCATGCTGACATGGTGGCCAGATATCCAGGCTGCTCAACTGCCACCCCTGCACCACTGTGTGTGCCACCAAACGAGGGCAATGCCACCCCTGCTGATGCAGGGATGGACAGGCTCAGCAATATATAAAGACCGCATATGGCCACGGGGGGGTGTTGCTTGTTTCCTGCTCTTTGTGAGTGACGTAGTGATCGCCAGCATCCCCTCTCTACAGTTATCTTCAGGTATAGAACGATTTTCTTAAGAATGGGATAAAGTGACAGCGAAACAAGTGAACATCATGTGTACTTCAGAGAAGTATCCCTCCGCCGCATAAGCTGTTTTAGTTATGCCCCTTCATAGTGTTTGTTTACGTATCACGCGAGACATCACTAAAGAGCTGTCCGAGTTTCGCTTAGTTATATGCACGAACACGAGTCTGGGAAATATCAAAATTTATTTACATATGTGGGAAAATGTCTTAACGTGATCTCACAGTCAATAAAAGAAAACTGCCATGAATGTAAATAGGAAGAAAATTGATTTTTCAGGGGACGTTCAAATACCTTTTCTGGATGTTTCACAACAAATGGCTCATCCAATTTTGTAGTGAAGAGGGTGGTTTATAATTATAACACCTCGACTATCAAAACTTGGTACTATGCTTTCATAACTCAAATGTCAAGCACAATATCATGAAAACCTCCCAAACACAGGTCGCCACACAGCGCAATGCCAGAAACGCATGCACCGTCACGAGTATGCATCTCACATTTAAGACTCTCTGCACTTTCTAATTTCAATTATTTCTCATGGCGCACTAAATTTTCGTCGGACGAAAACATCACAACAGGGAGTGTCGACGCTATTTACAAGTCAGCCAGCTGCAAACAAACGAATGGAGGAAAAAGAGTAAGTTCAAGGACACAATGACCACAGAATCGTCAGTTGTATTGCCAGCACTAGCTGTCAAATCATCTCATTTTAAAGAAAATTGGACAATAGACTGAGGCCGGAATCGACGCAAGGCTGAACTGAGCTACCCACCGCCAGCCTATCTGGCACACCTTCCCCACCCTCCTCATGGCAACGACCGGCGGAGTGCTGAGCTGCAGAGCCTCTGTACTTAATACAAAGGCTCTTAATAAACCTCCTTTAATAATCAACCCAGAGTTCATTCATTTCTCCTCTTATATTCTCCCTTTCATCATGTCATCATGACACCACCTTGGCAGACCAATCATGAAGACCACGACAAAATGGTCAAAACATCAGCAACACAACCTTCAACACGGCATCATACGATTTCAATTTTTAATTGAAAAAGTATTGTTGAATTTATATGAACAAAATAAATTGTTATTAGTGTGTTTCCAGAGTACTACAATACTTCAGATCCTTACCTGATACACATATCTGATAAAGTGTATATTACATTAACTTTTACAGCTTCGTGTTTTGATTCAGCCAGAAGTAGCCCCAAAGCTGGTATAATACGTTTTGCCAAAGTTTCATTCTGTAGGCACATTTTGCCCAGGGTAACAACTGTTAATGCCTGCAGTCCCGGAACTGACCATTTAACTTGAAAAGAAATGCAGCATGAGACTCCACTTACAAGTATTCTTCCTCAAATTATTTCAAACACATTTGGAATATTCCTTTTTCTGAAATGCCATATTACCTTCAATGATATTACTTTGCTTTGATAAACTAATGCATTGTAGAAGAGTACAATACTACAACAAAGTTTTTGAACTTTCTTGAATTCATAAATAAATAACATTCCTTTGGAATTTCTCATGAGGTTGCCATAAATAAAGTAACTGAGCTTATAGACACATTTCTTAACTTTATTGTTCTCTTTCAAGGATATAAATTGCATTCAAAATTTAACATTATTACACTGATTTACAAAGCATTTGTCAACAGGAGAAGAAATGACATCAGAGCAGCCTTATCCTCCATGAGATGGCATGCAGGAAAGCAGTGTGAGCAAAGAAGGAAGGGAGGGATCGACAGACTGCGGTTGCCGGTGACGAAAACCTTGGCAGTGGGCCATTGCTGGTTTTTCAGGCAACCTGAGTGGGAGATCGTGTACGCACATTGATTTTCTTACGATCTGGGAAGAAAGGTTTCTTTTTGTAGGTAATGGAACAATAGCCACGTGTTTAGTGCGTTCGAAAGTACTTAGGTATGTTAAAAAGTCCAACCTACAAATGCTTTAGGCAGCTTTGAGACTCAGAGATACCAGTGAGATATAAAATAAATTCCAAGACTTGACAGATAGCCTGCAATCATAGGATGAGTAAAGGATTTTGCATGTAGAAGATTTTGAAAAAGGTACTGAAAATCAGAAGGATTTATAACATTCTCAAACAGTGAAAAAATCATGCCTGGGATTCAAATTCTCCCATTATATAAAATATTATTGCCCCAGAATGTAAAAAATGTTAAAACTATAGGAGCATAAGCATGATACCAGTGAGATCAGAAATATTAGTGAACTTGTTAAGACAAAGATTAATCAAAATCAAAGAAAAAATAATGGAAGAACAATGTGGATTTGGCAAGGGGAGAAGTACCCTCAAACAGATTATTGAAAAAAGGAAAGAACATAACAGACCAACATATATACTGTTCATTGATTATGAAAAGGCCAATGATAATGTGAATAGGCAGAAATTATGGGAAATTCTGATAGGAAGAAATAGTACCAGAACATTTAATCAAAAATATACAGAGCCTGTGACAAGTTTCCAAAATAGTTATTAAAAATGACCGACACAACAGATGAAGACCAACAAAGGTCCAAGACAAGGATGCACACTGTCACACTACTCTACTTTTACTTAAAACACATGACAAAAACATGGAACAGAAATCTCAAGCAGGAATAAAGATAACAAACAACCAGAAATTAATGACAGTATTAATTGCAGACCAAGTTATATTAACAGACAAAGAAGACACTTCAGGATTAAACCTTCAAATTAAACAAAATAAGCAAAGAACACCAAATGAAAATATGAAGACAGAAAAGTAAAACACTAGCCTTCTATGGCAAAGAACTTCTTAAAGCCAAAATAGTAATAGAAAATTCAATAATTGAACTAGTTAACACTTTCAATGGAAATTACTGGAAATTTGATTGGATTGAACCAGGATATAGAAGAAAAAATACAAAAATATAATAGAAACAATGGAATAATAGAGACGTTTTAGACATGAGAAAAGAAACAATGATGAGTATCCATAATTTTACATCAAAACTAATGCTAAAGTGTGGTTCAAAAATGTAGATAATGTGTATAAAGGAAACCAGAAGTATAGAAGTAGCTCAAATGAAGTTTCTATGGGTAGTGTTAGGAGTAACAAGAAGGGGTGAAATTCAAAATGAAACAATTAGGAAAGAACTGAAAACAGGAAACTTAGCAGAAGAAATAAAAAATGAGCAAATGAAATGGAAAAAATACATGAAAAGAATGGACCAACAATGTGTACCATGGATGGCATTAAATTAGACACTGAATGGCAAGAAGGATAGAGACAGACCGACAAGAAGATGGCACCAGCAACAACACTTCACCACATGAAGGAGTACTGTTTTACTATGCACTAACAGGACAGGAGCACCGCTCCCAAACCGAGTGTGTTGATGATGACCATGACGAAATGTTAAGTGATTTTTTCTAAAAAGATTATGAAATAAAAGAATGGAAGGTGACTTATTGTACTGATTATGATAAAGAGTCGGAAAATTGCTTTAAGTTACGTAAATATGTGTTCTATTATCTAATTTTCCATAATGTTATTGAATCATAAACATTCTAAATAATAATTATCTTTTAAAAAAAAAAAATTATCAATTTTCCAAGTGAATCTTTCCTCCCCACTTCCGAACCATCATTGGAACACTGTGCCTGTGCCACCGCGTCAGGCACTTCCTTTGCTCCACAGCTTGGTTCGGAGCAGGAGTGCAGATTTCTGTGATGCCACAGCCCATAGAGTTGGCAAGCAATGGATTAATATATTACATGAAATATATTATGTCAATTCATTTTACTTTTTCAAATGCGTTGTTAAATTTTATATGAAATGTACAGCCCATATAATGAAGTTCAGAGAGGTCAGCAAGCCAAGTTAATTTAGATATTGATCGATACCTCAAAAGACAATTCTCCAGAAACTTTTATAGTTTTACAAAAAAAACGAAAGAACGCTAATAAACCTTAATTAATACAAATTCTCAGCAATAAATACCTGGATCATGAAGTTTCTCCGGAAAGAGAATTCCTGTCAAAATGATGGCAACATTTATAGGAACTTTCCCAGGACAAAGCTGTGACACATCTCCCAGCGTTACCAAATTTCTCATGAACTCTTCCATATTTACTCTTGTATTATCATTTCTGCAAGGTGAATGTTGTTGAAAATATTCTTCTGTTTTCTGGAAAATATAAAAGGAAATTTGTCTTTTACAAATATTGAACAATTCTGCCACAATACATGATTTAACAACATGTATGTTGATGGTCAACTCCGCCTAAGGTCGTGCTAAGTGGATTAAGTAGCTTCGCAGCCCACTGCTGGTCCCAAGCCTAGATAAAGGAGGAGGGTTCCTGAGTGAGGTTAGCACCCTGCTCAGGGTAAAAAACTATACCGCTCAGAGCTCCAAGAATTTGCCTCAGATAAATCCTATATATATGGCAACTCAGGCAAAAAAAAATACTACGAATTGGAAAAGGAAGAACATTACACAAACTGGAACATGGAATGTAAGATCATAGAATACAACCAAATATGTATTAGATTAGATTAGATTAGATTTATTAATAATTCTGCAATTAAGTGCGAGGAAACTGTGAGCCAGAATACACTAACTTAACATTACAGAACTTAACTATACACACTCTACAAACTTTACAAAATCACATCACAAAATTACACCAAGCAATCTTTCTATGAAACTCCACTTCATACACTGCAATACTTGGCGAAGCTGTTAATTGTTCCTCTCTTACTCAACCGTTTCTCTCAGTTACACAACGACACACAATAATAATAACAACAATACTAATGGAACTTGACAGATATGAAGAATATGAAATACTAATGGAATTTGACAGAAACAAAGAGACATATGTTGCCTCACAGAAACTAAGAAAAAGGAATTACACAAAAGGGTCATTACACACTTACTTACAGTTGACCTCAAAACATCTTAAAGCAAGGGAGGGTGTAGCAATCATAATACATAACAAATATGTAAATAACATAATTAAACGCAACTAAATCTCCGAAAGAATTGTATCTGTGAAATTGTGAAATAAATCTAAACCAATCAATGCTATATCCATATTCACACCAGATAATAATTGACAATCTCACAAAAAACAAAAATTCTATGATGACTCCAAGAAACGATCAGCTAAATTGATCCTAAGGAACCGGTAGTAATAGCGGGTGATCTGAATGCCAAAGGAGGAAATTAAGAACAGGTCCAATGAATCTCCGAAATTAAGAACAGGTTCAATGAACATAATCTCAATGAAAATAGAGAAACTCTTATAGATTTCTGCATTGAAAACAAAATAAGAATAAATAATACTTTCTTTGATCAAAAGAATAGCATGGATGAACACAAGAGGACAAAAATCTACCACCGATTTTATACTTACTAACCAGGAAATTCACCCATCCCAGATTCTAGATGTTAGGAGACTATCAGGAGCGGATATTGACAGTGATCATATCCTGGTATTAATAAAACTATGAACGTTCACTGTGAAGAAAAATATTGCAAAAGAAAAACCGCAACACATACAAAAGATAAACATTGAAGCACTAAGTGATGAATCTACCAGATATCTATATAAAAACAGACTGGCTGACAAAATATCTAACAATTCAGTTCTGGATAAAGGCACCATTGAAATGTCTTGGCATAAAACACCCCCCCCCCTCAGGAGATTCATTAGAAGCGAGAGAACAGAAATAACAGAACGCACATACGTTTTGGTGTCTAATCTTGTAAAATTGTATTAAGTAATATGTAAATATTGTAACGTTCTTTTGATTGTTTCTGTTGTGTATTTGTAGAAACAACTTAGAAAACATTACCACCAGAAATATTCCATGTGTTCTTAAGTAGCAAGATAAATATTCATTATAAAGTATTTGATGAAACAGGGATAAAATACTTTAGAGTGCTCCACGATGACACTCTGGAGATAATAGACTTGGATGAAGATTTTACATCAAAGAAACAGTCTGTGAGAACGTGAAGAAATATTTAGAAAAAATCAGAACACTAAAATATCGCAAGTCACCAGAAGATGGAACATATAATGAACTTATTAAATATGGGGGAAGAACCTTATGCAGAGAAATAACCAAACTTATTAATAAAATTTTTAATAATGCAACAACACCAAAGGCATGGAAATCAAACATGCTTATCCCTCCATTTAAGAAAGGAGACCGCAAAGCTTTTCTATGCTTTGCGGACCTACGCAAAACATTTGACAATATAAAACTAATGCAGAAAACAAAATAAAGATTAAAAACAGGGGAAAATATTACCTGCTAAACCTGCGTCATAAGAAATAAGATGGGGATTCATTGAGCTCCTTGTTATTTAATCTAATAATGAATTGTATTACAAAACAAAAATCAAAAAAGGATATAGTATGGGAAAATACAATACAAATACCATACGTTACACAGACAACACATTGTTAATAGCAGAAAACAAAGATGACTTACAACAATTGCTGTAAGAATTCAGTAAAATTTGTAAGAATTTTAGTTTTAAAATACCCAGAAGCCAAAAGCTATGGCAATTGCTAAGAATCTGAGAATCTGATTAGGTGTAAATTGGTAGTGGATAATTAAATAATAGAACAAGTTCTAGTGATGAGATATTTAGGAATAACTAACAAGCTCAGTACAAACGGAGAAAGAAATCAAAGAGTAAATAATATAGGGTAATAGGATCACTGGCTGTCTCAACTACTTATTATGGCATAATAAGCATATAAAATAGGTTAGAATATATCAATCAATAATTAGACCAATATTAACATATGCAGGAGAAACAAGAAGCAACCAAAAATTCACAACAACTTGAGGTCGCCAAAATGAGAGTTCTCAGAATAATTACAAATCACACTCTACTGGAAAAGAAAAGAAACAGAAACATCAGGGAAATGTGCAAAGTTAAGCCCAATTTGGAATTTGTAGCAGACCGAAGAAAAAAATGGAATGGTCATATTGAGAGAATGGAGAAGAGAACAGTGAGGATTGCTAGAGATGGAAGGCAGAGAAGCAAGCAGACAAAGAAGTTGGAAAGACTTGTTATAATTCATGGAAAGAAACAATACTTAAACTTTTAAGAAGAAATATGTTGATGGTCAAGTCCTTGACATCCCAAGCAATTTTTACCATGACTTTATCATATTACTTTTGAGGTCAGTTGTCAATGAGCACTACTAATGAGTAGTAGATAAATCAATGACAGACCACCTATTCTCAGTGTGAAACCCCAAAGGAATGGTTTGAACCTCAGAACATTGCCAAACTCCAACCAATATGTTCATGCTGATGTTGTGAATAATTCATTTATGTGATTTGCAGCTCGCTCTTATGTTTCATTGTAATTGAAATATTGGAAATAATTTGAGAAATATTTTTATATAAATAAATATTAAAGTAATAATCGACAAATAACTCCTACACAACTCAACTGATTTTAATGATTTTTGAGACAGTAATTTAAGGCTCAACTTGGTATCATTTTATATTGCTTTGCAGAGGCAAATACAGAAAATGTTTCAGATGGGAGTCAACTTATTGTTTGCTTCCTCCCAAAAGATATTTTATAAATTACTTTGTAAAATCTTAGTAAATATTCATATGCAAATACAACATTCAATGTCATGTGATAATGTGAGTATGTGGTAATTGTTAAGAATATTTTTAATGAAATTACCAAAACAATTTTAGTAAAGGCAGGGGGAGGCATACCACCCACAGCACACTTATCACTTCAATAGTTGACTTTAAAGTAATGCATTTTAATCCCGTTCTGAAGCACGTAAAGTGGGCAGGAAGTGCCAACTTGATTAAAAATATAAACATGACAAAACAAGCAAATGATTCAAGTACTACAACACATACTCATTTGATGACATTGATAGCAAAACAAAATCCAGAAAGTGGGCGACTGCTGGTTAGGGAATTACTCCCACGGGTGAACCACGTTTTAAGTGAAAAATTTTAGTTTCACAGATTAAAAACCAAGGAAAAAATGTAACACCCAAACCACAAGGATAAGCTGCATCACACTTTATCATTGTACAAATTTGAAGGGATGCTGTCTAGGCCCTTAAAATTGGTTTTCACACCCCTAATGGCACTCGAGTAATGTTTTTCGAGTCAATCTCTAAAGCACAAAATGAAACCGCATTGAACCTTCTACTGTGTTTTTCAGTATTATCACCTTCCCCGGCCCCCATAAGCAAATTGTAAATGTCTGAAATTGGACTCCAGTATAAAGATATTTACACATTCCAAACAATGATTTAAAAAGCTTATAATTATTACTTTTATCCAACTAGTATTAATTACACTATGAATACTGCACACTAACCTCCAGAATTCTTTTAGACCACACCATCACTGATTCTTGGCCCTCCTTCACACTGGAAGCTTGGCCCAATGTTATGAGAAGTACAACATCTAAAACTGGCCCAATGAGAGTAGTACTAAGACGCATGTGTTCTACTGATAGCAGAAGCTCTGTGCATATGCTATCTTGTTGTCCTTTGGGTAAATATTTCCAGGCAGTGCCCAGTACATCTAAAGCTTTCACAACAGCATATCTTGTGGTCTAAAACATGAATAAGTGAGTGTTTAGACATTAAAACACACGGTTAGTGCACGGTACACCCTTAGAGAAGCGTGGCATCGGGGCTTAAGCCCTAATTACTGTATGTGCTCTAATAGAAATGAATAAAACTTATGGATAGGCAATTTTCATGGTTCACCCTTCATATTGTCCTCGCCACATTGTAACGCCAATTTACTTTCAAAGTCAAATTTTCTCGCTTCGCTCGCCCTGATCCAAGTCACGGCGAGGCTCAGGCCTTTGGCCCGCACATTCACTATAAACATCCTTGAGTCTACTCTGAATGGCGCGAAGTGCCAGTTTAAACAACTTCTTTAGGTTGTACCGTATACTACATTTCAGCCAAACACACTTATTTGAACGTTAAAATAAGCATTAAACATTACAAACCTTCTCAGAATTTGTGAGATTCTCTCGATAGTAGTCCACCACAAAATTTGGGTCCTTGAGTGGAATATATGGGGCTACACATGAAAGAAATAACCAAGCTGCCACATTATGTTGTGTTTCAATGTGAGTCTGAATCAAAGATATTAAATTCTTCCTGCAAAATTATACAATGTTCTTGATGGACTTTGATAAACCCTCATACAAATACAAATGAAACAAAATTTAACTTACGGAAATGTCTTATCTTTGGCCCACAGCGAACATACAATTTGAAAAAATTTCTTTTTCTTCAGATCAATAATCACTTCAAACAATTTCCAAGGCAAGTATGATGCTTCCGAGCCCAAGTTTTTGAAAGGCACAAGTTTATGAAGAATAGTGTTCTCCAGAGACTGAAGAGATTACCAACATAATTACCAGCAGAACATTAAATACAAAAACATAAGTACACAATACATAATTAAAATAAAATATTATGACATTAAAATTAAATTAATTCAAAGATTATTTACTAACTTCAAGAACTTTCTCTTGAACTTTTACTTCAGGATGAGAAATTTGAGGAAGAACAGCTTCTATGTAATATTTTGCAAGGTGAGCATCATCTGGGTATTTTAACACTAAATCTGTAAGCGACTGGATCAACTGTTTTTTAATAAGAAGAGCTGGATCACGTACATGATCACACATTACCTATAAATAACAACAAAAAACAATTCAATATTATTCACTTATAAAATAAATTATCACTACAAAGTAGTAAATAAGTCTAAAAGAACACTTTGGTCATTATCTTGACAAACAAGCAAAGAACATTCATGTTTGATACTGTCATACTTGAAATTTAATGAGTAGGTAAATTAAAGGATTTTAAGAAATTTAATTTTAATTTATATTTCTGCAGCATCATCCCATATTAATTACTTTATATTTGATATATAAAATAATGCAATTCAACATTCCTCAAAACTGTGCATGTTTCTTCAGTTAAAAACTTATACTATCCCTTCAAGCCACTACAGCTTGGTAACGAGTGTGTGTACTAAGACATATAAGAATGTAAAATTTGCTTCATTCTTTTAATAAATTAGAAATAAGTACAGAGGATGATTTAATTGGACACATAGTTTCATGTTTCCTTTTCCAGTTATTATAAAGTAAAAAAGTTTAATAGTTCAGAATGTAAATTTGCACTTTACAGAATTTAATACATACCTTTAGCAATTTATCTGTCAACCATTTACGGTTCAGTTTTATAACATTCTCAAGAAAACTAAAAGCAGATTTCCGAACAAAAACTTTATCATCTTCTACAAGTTTCAACATTTCTTTCACAACAGCTTTTCCCCCAGGAAGAGGATCTGCTTGTAAATGTTGAGGTTTATCTAACGAATCCAAAAATATCTTTGTATTTAGAAATCCTCTTTCCACAATACTGTCGTTTTGAATTAGATCATTATCTTCATAAGGTATCACAAATATTTCTTTCATTAACTCCACAATTAATTTGTTATTAGATTGCAAACAATCTGTCAATGTTGACAATGCTTTTGTCCTTACAGTACCAGACTGATCATGGCAACGACTAAATAAAACTCCTAACAAGTACTTGTGAGAAGCAACATCTCTTTCTTGCTGCTGTGAATTATTCATTACTGGATCCAACTCTTCTGCCACATCTTCATTATCTTCTTCACGTTCAGGAGATACACGGTGAGGTGTAAGAGAATCTCTTCCAGGGATATCGTTTGGTCTCTCCTCTTCATACAAAAGTTTGGAAATAACTTCCACTGCAAATAGTCTATGAGATGCTTTCACATCATGAGCAAATCTTAACACCCATTTTATGGTATTAAAATATGGTTCAGAAGGAAGAGCTTTCAACAAAGAAACAATACTTTGTGAAACTTTCAATCGGAAATCTGCTCTGTCAGTGACTCTGGCACAAAGGTGTTGCACAAATAAACAAATTCCTTGGTAGCTTTCTTCTACTAGACTCTTAAGTAAATGTAAAACAAATTTTTCTGTTTGAAGGCGTATTAGGTTAAGATTTCCCATTGTTATATCTCTGACAAAATCTCCTGCCATAAGAATATTGGGCAAAAGGTGATATAAAATAAGTTTGACAGTTCCTTCTGTTTTTCCATGCAAAGGTGAACACAAAGCTTTCAAAAGATTGTAAGAATTGCTTACAATAGATGAAATGTCACCATTAATTTTAAAGGTATCAAAATCAAATGTTTGCACATTGCTGACAAGTCTAGTATGAGAAATTAGTTGAGTAAGTGTCTTCTCCAAGGTATCTTCAGTTTTTAGAGGATATTTCTTCATCATGAGTGACATATCTTTCAAAATAACATTCAGATTTTTCCTAATATTCATTTTTGCCTGAACAGTTAGACTCAAAAATGACACATCATTACCTTCTTCATCCCCTTCACCAGCTTCATCATCATCTTCATTATTTGTTTTTTTACGTCCTCTAGGTGGTTTGCTTGGCTTTGTCTCGTTTAACTTACTGCAGACATTAAGAGTCTTTAGACCCTTCTCATATATGCTAGGTTGAAATACAAAAAAGGCATCACATCCCGGAATGGTCAACAATAAAAAATACAAACTACACGATTTAAAACACAATTCCATCGCCTTCATATCTTCAGGTTTGTCCTGACCATTAGCAATAAAATATCCCAAAAGAGAGATTAAATGTCTGTGTTCTACTTTATTTTCAACTAGTAACTCCCATGAAACTGTAATGCTATCTTCGCTAGGTCCAGCAGAGTCTAAAAACTCATCATTTCTCCCAACAGAAACTCTTAGCAGTTTAACAATCATTTCTAACGCATTTACAACATCATTTTCCATAACAAATTCTTCATATTCGTTGGGAAGTTCATCGAATTCTGCAAAATCACTGTCCCAAACTTGTTGCACCCATTCTTCCCCTAAAAGACGAAGTTGAAGATGAGAAAAGCAATTTACGATATCCATTTTTGTTTAGTTTTTGCAACAATATTCCTATTAAAATCTCAGTAATTAAGTTAACTGATAATCATCTAACAATTAACATGACATTCCGGTAAAAATTCACTTTTCTCAAAATATAAAATACCCACGTCCAACCCACATCACTTCACATCTAGCCGCTCAAAGCAGCTCGAAGTGAGCGTCAGCAACCCAGCGTCGCTCACGAATCGTCAAATAACATAATAGAAAGACTGGCATTCGCCACCTCAAAATTTTCAAATTACTTTCGCTTTACAAACACTGTAAAATAAATTTAAAGTAATATATATTTAGATATGATTTTTTAATAAATCTTCTAGTATTTATTAACACGAAAAGCACAATAATATAATTCTGGTAGAGCCACTATTTACACGGAAGGATCAATTATTTCTACGTATGTTCTTTGAAATTGTGAACACCGACAACCTGCGAAACGCTAATTCAATTTTTTTTATAATAATTCCTAAAACATTAAATATCATGTACAACGGATATCACATCAAATACTATTATAATGAAATTGAACAATTAAAAAGTTTTGAATATCAGAAAATATACAGAAGTGGCATCCATATGTTAATTCTCGCGCCGACCAGTGTGTTTCCCAACATGAAATTGTTCTAGCGGGAATTTTGAAATAAAGAGACTTTCAGAACACTGCTGTCTTGGCTAGTGGATATGTTTCTTGGCCTGTTTCTAAGCTCTTCCTTGTTTGGATGAGTAGCAGTGTTGGCGTGTGTGCAGCAAACGGAAAGGGAGTGGGGGTGAGGGAAAGGAATCTCTCACTACCCCAGACGAGAGAGATGTGATGGGACGGGAGGGTGAGAAGAAAAGGGAACGAATGAGTTTGGAAGAGTTATTTTATTGAGTGGTGTAGTTTTGTCAGGTGATATTATTGCCGGTTTCGGTGGGTGACTTGGGGAGTTACGTGTTGGGTGGTGGGAGCTGTAGAATATCAAATGGGTGGTGATATTGTATTCTGGTGTAAATGGGAGGGTTTGTGAAAACTTGTTGGGGCTGTCGGATTTGTATGAAGGGTGTTAAGTGGTTGTTTTTTTAATGCTGTGTCTATTATTAGTTTCGATGTTTCGTACATGTCCTTGTCATGTTAAGTTTTGTCGGAGTCTATTGTAGTTTTTCATTTGCGGGGTTTTGAAGGCTAGTCTGCGAAATTATTTTCTGTCTTCATTAGTTGTTTGTAATTATAGTTGGCTGTTGTTGCCCAGGTCTCACAATTGTATGTCAGGTACTGCTTTATATACGTGTTGTAAATGTATAGCTTTGTCTTAGTCTGCGTGAATGGGTGGGTCAGTATGAGTGTCAGTGAATTAAGTCGTCTGTTCACTTTTTGTGTTGTGTCATCTACGTGATTGTTCCAAAGTAGTTTGGGGTGAAGTGTCACACCAAGATATTTTGTGTGATTTGTCCAGTTGATGGGGCTGTTGTCGATGATTAGTGGGGGTGGGGTCGGGTGAGTCTTGTACGTAGTGCCTCTATGGAAGAAAAAGGCTTGGCTTTTGGTAGGGTTTGGTTGCTGTCGTTTGCCCATTCGGTGATACGGTCTAAGTCCTGTAAGTTAATGGAGAGGTGGTTTGTGTTTTGTCACGGTCAATGCACTGTTGTCGGCGTATATGTAGTCATTTGTCTTTGGGGATATAGGCAAGTCATTTGTGTATAGTGAGAAGAGAACAGGTGATAGAACTACCCCTTGCCTATAATGCAAAAATTCACGTATTTATCCAATCGCATTTTTTAGCCTTCGTTTCGATATGTGCAGGAGTAGTAGGAGGTTTGATTATTTTGTCGATAGGATTGTTGTATCTAATCTGTAGCTCGTTTTTCGATGCAAAATAGTTCTTACTATTCGAGAGCGAATATTTCTGATACCAGATTTGGTCAACAACGCCTGTTCCTATCATTTATACTGAATTCAACTGTTAGTAAAGGAGTGGGGATAGGTATTCTGCTCTATTCTCAAGAAAGCGTACATACGATTGGATTTGGATAAATTTGAATGACAGACGGAACTCATCAGCGAGCAAGAATTGCAGGCCTTTTCATGGAAGTAGCATCCGTTTTGAGACCCTAAGACAGAATGCATTTTGAGTGTGTGTGTGTGTGTGAATAAACAAAGATAATATAAATAATATACATAGTAAATTATTTATAATGAAATTCTTTTAGCAAAATTAAAATATTAAATTTAATATTCCATGAATACTTTATGGTTTTAAATTAAAAATAGTAATAATTTGTTATTAAAATCGTTGAATTGAGAGCTGCAATATGAAGAAGTATTAGGGTATTATATTTTAATTCCATGATAAAGATATGAACAGATAGAATTAAAATAAAAAAACATTATATCGATTTACAAAATAAACATTCGCTTACATACAAACATTACTGTTCAGGACTGAAGAAAGTTGACAGGATTTCATAAGATATGTTTCAAGACTCTTCTACTTTTTCTTTTAATTAGCTTTCTTTCTCTTTTCTTCTTATTCTTTTTTGATATTTTCTTTATCTTCTTAAGGATTTATTGACAGCGCCGTCTCCAGGCGCATGTAAGCGGTCCATGCCCTATTCTTTTGTTTCCGGCACACTGTAATTACGCAAAAAAATGTCACGGCGGCCCATGATCATTAGCTTGACACCTAGAGAGAGACCTTCAACTGTTTGCGTCGGCCACACACCAATACGTGGAAGTCGCCGTACCACCCCTTGTCAAGCGGAGTAAGAAAGAGATGAGCTGTCACACGGCTCTGGAGAATAGTTGAAAACATTTCAATACGAACCACTGGGCTAAAATACAGTGAAATTCAGGATTCCCATTCGTAGCTAAAAGCCTAAGACAGGTTATTTTTTCGATACATTTTAGAAGATTTTCTTGTGTTACTCATTATTATTTTTTCATTTTATTACATTCTACATGACGCCCCTGTGACATTTTCAAAGTGTTCTGAAAATCGGCCGTAATTTCGTTCCTTTATTTATTTTTATGCTCGAATAGGGGAAGGATTTAGAGAGGTAGTTTAGATTCGGTTTTCATTACTAGCTCTGAAATTTTGGAAATTGCAGATGCTTAAAGATTAGTGGAACATGTTACACAATGTATGACATACTCTTTCAATATGAAAGCCGAGATGTCTATCTTAATACAATTTATACCTTCATTTTAGATTTTTAAATGATGTCAAACATTTTCTTTAAAAATATAGGATTTTGAATAAAAACACTAAGAGGAAGAAAGAAAACTAGAAATGCTGCTCGTTGCCACTAGTTAAGACAATAACAAAAATCCGTGACATTTTGAGTTCCGTCAAAGTTTTTCCGGACAATGGCACTAAACTCGGAAAATGGAACGATCCCGTGTTTTACGGGACACATACTAACCTTACCATTCCGTACCGTATGGAGAACTGAACAAAGGGAGTAGAGTGCATATAGTAATATACTCTCTGGTAGAGTGAACGGATAGCCCGAGGAAGAGAGGCGAGTGAACAACGCGCTCTTGGATGCTTCGCAGAAGACCAGGATTGCCAACAGTGGCCTTATTAATATACAGTATGTGCAATCTGTCCCGTAGCGTGCCTGGGTGTCACCGCGTGCTTGCTGCGGTCCCCAACAGTCCCAATGGTCTCATTCGTGCCATTATAATATACATTTTATATAATCTTACTCTGTGGTGCGGTGTAGAGGAGTCGGAGGATTATCGAAGGATTGCATGGTGTTTAAATGTCAAAGCATAATTTTCGTGTGACAGTGCGTGATCTCGTATTTGATTGTCACTGACTTCCCCCTCTATTTCAACATTTGAAGCCGTAAATGTTAGGTTACTCTGTCAGAGATCAAATCTTATACTTTATCATATCAAATAGTCGCTGATATATTAGTGATTTTTTTTAAAGAATATGATAGAGTTCTTAACTTTTTGGAGTCCAAAAGTTTGAATTGCGACTTGACCATTGATTCGTAATATCTGCCTTCACAGAAAAGTGAAAAGAAGTTAGTAAACTATGTTGGTTTTATACACTAATGTTGCTATAATTGATAACATTGATTAATCCTTTTTTTTTTCACTCTGTAGTGGAAAACTACAGAAAAGGTAAAAATGTGGAAGAACAATTGGAAAGGGAAAAAATACCAATTCCAGGTCTCCCTTCAGAATTTATTTGGATGCAGGTGAGTAATATTTTTCTGTAAATATCCCTGATGTTTCTGCTGGAAATGTAATTGTGTCAAAATTTCCTATGTCACAGGTAAGTGGTGGAAGTAAAATGAGGAATCTTCTTGGATATGCTATGAATGCATTTCAAGATCAGAAGGCTATAGTTTGGAGTGGTTCAGGGCCAGCTGTTAGCAAGACGATAAGTTGTGCAGAAATAGTAAAGCGCCGTTATAAACATGTTCACCAGATCAACAAGATATGTTACCGCCGGTATATATACTTATGTCACTTATATATACTTATGTTTACACCTATACCATCATCTGTAATGATGGCTTGCATTACTATTTGAAGTGTTGATAAGTGAATATGGATTAATTATAAAGGGTTCATTATGGAAAGCATATGTTAGTTTTTAATCAAATATTATTTTAGAGTTGAAGAATATTGGGAACCACTTCTGGAAGATTTGGATCCTTTGGTAGTTGTGAGGGATGTTCCTACAATACATATTCTCCTATCAAAAGAACCATTAGATAGTGAAGAACCTGGGTAAGTTAATGTTTATTTCGTGAGTAAATTTAAATCAATAAAGGAGGTGATTATTTAGTCTAACCATTTGAAGAGTAGAATAAGAACCTGAATGTTTTTTTTTTAAGTGATCATTGATTTCCAGCCAAAGGAATTCTTTCTTGAATTATAAGGTATAAATATGAAAATAGAATATTTTGTGAAATTTTAGGAGTGCCATAAAATGCAACATGAATTTCATGTTGTTAACAGAAAAGAAAGTACATTAACTTTTTGTGACCTAGCCTTTTGTTTACATCCCCTTAAACCAGATCTTTTTCTTTTACTGCAGTTATCAACCATCTTCTACACAACGAATAGCACTCCCTTCGAAGAAAGTAGAGCATAAAGGAAATAACCAATCACACAGGAAGCCTCGGACACATTGTGTGCTAGGACAATTTGCTCCTAAAGCAAGTGGATCATCAAGAAAATCTCAAAAAAGTGTAAATGATGCTGTGAGCTCTAAGTTGAGTGAAAATCAAACTCTTGATAGAGAAGCAAATAAGTGAACTGTTTTACTGACAAGATTCTGTGATGAAACCAAATTTGTATTTCTGTATAGAAAATAATATTGACTTACCTTCTGTTCTAGAAAGTGAATGGCTATTATCAATGTGCTTGTACTAAAGAAATGTGTATGTGATCAAGAAAATTATGATCAGATTTATATAACTGAGATATATAACCTGTTACATGAAATCTTATTAAATGTGAGGAAGTATTTTTCAAGCCGCTACTGCATTATATTTCTTGTAACCTTAGTTGGCTCGTTATGTTCGATTCAAGAGAATGTTTGTCACTCAAGGTAATTTTTGATGAGGACATTCTAGTACGAACTCTCTCTTCTTCTACATATTAATTGTTAGTGGTGAGAAGTTCATGCAAGCTTTTAGCTTAAAATAGGCATACAGATATGCCACTTAACATGTTGAAATGTGATTTGAAATCATTAAAATATGCAGCAGTTTGTTACAGAAAAAATTTTGCAATGACAGTCACATCTTATTAAAGAAAGAGGGTATATGTAAATCAGAACAAAAAAAAAAAAGATTATCTACTTTTGTACATTTTATTTTGCATTAAGAATTCAGAGTATCTTAATTGTGTTAAGATTCCCAAAATAATAATAAGCTGGAACCGACCCAGTCATCTCCTGCCAATAAAACCCAGTACCCATTGACTCATGTACAGGATTTCATTGGTGGAGATGTCTGCGTCATCCCCAACTTCATAGTTATTATTTTGTAGACCACAGATCTAGTGGTTAGGCGGAAGAGCAGGCCCTATGGCCTGAGCCTCACCATTAATAAAGACATTATTATTATTATTAGATCTTGAGGGCACTTTCTTACACTTCTTGATAAAGGAACTTTACTGTGAGATGCTGCATCCTAGGCATAATAGTCAATGTTGTGGTTGCTGTACTACAACCTACCTTAGGGTGAAATTATATGCCCTGAGGAAGGTCACAGTAAGACAGTTGAAACTTAGGCAACTGTGCCTAGGGCACAGCATCTCCATCAGCCAAGTTTCTATTGACTCTGGATATAGAAGTCTAACTCTTTCACTGGGTGATATATTATCAAATTTGACTTTGCTGGCTCTGGCTGTCAGTTATGTTTTTTTTATAACCTGGTTGTGCCTCTTGATTACTGATTACATATTCCATTTGAATAGGAGTATCACAAGCTCTTTTGCCATAATGATGTCCCCCATAGTTTACTGAAGAAGAGTTTTTGTTGTTTTTTCAAGCAATGTAGCTTATTTGTCACTAACTGTATAGTTCTGTTATTTTGGAAAAAAATAGTACTTTTGGAAAGTTTTAATGTCAATATTTAAGTTAATTTTGTATGAATCTTAAAATCAAATAATTGTTGGTTCAATGGTTCAGGCAAAATTCATCTTCTGAGAAATTCTTTAAGGTATCGACCTTATGATTGGTGCTAAAACTGTGAAATGATACTTATTAGAAACGTAAATACTTTATATTTTACAGGGCCACAAGACTTTGTTGCAACTTCATGTTTACTTTTAAAATTTCTTGCTCCTGTAGTATAAATCAAGGGAGTTACATTATGAATAACAATACGAGTAGTAAAAATGACCAAACAGTTGATAGTTATGAAAACTGATATGCAGGCCTAAGTTCAAATTCTGACAGGTATAGTATTGTCATTTCATTCCTGGTTATTGAGGAAATTATTCTGGTTTGCTTAAAGAGAATGACAGCCTGAGCAAGACCCTTCAGATTATATTGGACAAATGGAACAGTTTTGACTTCATTATACATCACACGTTTATCAATTTTAATGATTCAATATTTGGACATAGTTGTGCTAACATTTTATTTACGTAAAACTACATAATGATTGAAGAAAGATATTTAGTTTAGAGAATGAGATTGTTTTGTTATTGGGATTGTTATTAAACTGGAGCATTATTTTCACATACAAATTGGTTCCACACAAGAAAAATAATGTTCAGAATTATAAGTCTTCTAATTAGTGTTTCTGTGTCTTTTTCAAGCAACCACTTTCATCTTGTAAAATAAGTACTTCAAGATCAAGTTAATACTTTTCTGATAAAGCTCTTACGTTTAAAAATTCCATTTAGACAATTTGAATAATTATATTAAGGATGGCTAAAACATCCCTCTGTATAATTTACTTCAGTAAATTTGTACGCGCCAAAATTATTTTAAACTGTATACTGTTGGAAGTTATCAAAATATTAGCTCAATTAGTTCCATTTTCAAGCACATTCTAACCTAACGGATACTTGAATTTATACATAAACAGGCTGTATTCTGAATAATACAGCCTTTGCACCTAAATCATCCGTAAGACAAATAACATTGAATCCATTTGTTGATTGAACATGAATGTGGTATGTGTGGACTTCTCAAAAGCCTTTGATAAGATTCTGCACACAAAACTTCTCAATGAACTCTGACACTTTGGGACACACAAAATTGCTTCAGTGAATTAAGGCCTTTCTTGTGGATAGAAAGTTATTAGAGTGAAAAAATCTCTTTGTTGTCACAAAAACGAGACACATATTAGAAGGGTTAGTTCTGGGAGTGATAATGTCTTATTCCTCAGTGATATATACCATCACCCATCACATCAAGCAAAGCATCTCCGTATGTTCTGATGATATAAAGACATACAAAAATGCCCTACGTAAGCCCGCTAACCTATAAAAAGATTTCCATATCTTGCACAAGTGAACTCAAGGATGGGTTTTACCTCTAGCTCTTACCTTGTGTATGATCATGCATGTAAGTGAAAATAAACCATTGCATATATACATTCGAGGACAGCAAATATAGATGATATACACAAAAGATCTGAGAACAGTTAAATAACATCCAACAATTTAAACTGTGAAATATGTACCCAATACATTGAATAGGCAAACAAAACTTTATATGTGATTTGGACATTGAATTGATATTACTGTTAATATAAACATACATATTGCCAATCACACATTCATGGAGATGGAATCAAATACAAATTCTTGGAGATAGAATCATTTCTTGAAGGATCATTAATGGAAAACTTCACTTATACCAAAATTTTAAAATGTTGAGTATTGACATCATCATGACTTGACATCATGATTGACATCATGACATCATGACTTGAACTTGGCCTTCCCCCATTGACTAGTAGGCAAAGTGGTGACCAGATAGAAACAAGATATTGCAGGGGTATTACAAAGGTCTACTGGACTTCTTTTAATGCCCAACAAATTTACACTTGTGGAGACAAGACTTGAAACTGAGGAAACCAAGATGCCAGACACTCAAGAAAAGGAATATTTTGATCCATAGATGGATGTATGGAACCATTTCTGCCAATGTGTCAAAATCCGATGTCATCAGAAGTTCTTTTCTACCTGGCACTCCTAATCCATTCTGTTTCATTTCTTATTGGTGACATCCTTGTCCTACTCTGCTTCCATCTCTTCATAAGTTCTTTTTCTACTTTCTTTTTACTTCCCTTTGGGATGTTACATATCCTGTTTAAACATAAACATACACTTACATATTTACAACAGTTTATACACATTACATTAATTTAAATATAATTTGTTATTATACACAGTGCAAGTAATTTCAAATGGAAAAAAAAAAAAAAGAAAAAAAAACAACAACCCTGTCTTCTCAATTGGATGAACAAATATTTCTAATGTTAATTCGCTGAGAAACACTTCATTTCTTCTCAGCAGTTTCTTCATTTCTTTTCTCTGGCAACATCTGAAGGTTGTGCTTATAGCGAGTTGGGGCTCTGACAATTCTAAATACTGCCAAAGAAAAAATCCCCTTTTTTGCTGAATATTTGATCAGAGATTTCAACGCGAACAAGACTGGTGCTATTCTTTAAAGTCTTTTTAACACTACCTGAGGACAAAGTTTAATCAAAAAATTTGAAACCATTTTTGAGAAATTTTTGAAAATGTAAAGGAGGCTTCATTTAAAACCCCTAAAATTGAAACATATTTCAAACTCACAGGCCTCAACTTCATTTTAATTGGTGGAGGAATATCAATTTTGGAGAAAATCAGTAGAAGGGTTCATTAAAATCGCTGGCGTTGACCACTGTCAGACGAACAGATAGTCATTTTGCAGTTAATGCTTTTTTTATATCAAGGACCCACAAAACATGCATTCTGACTACACAGCGTGTTGGAAGTAGTAATTCATTGTGTATCGAAACAAGATTTATCCACTTTTTCATTACCAGGGCCCAGGAATCTAAGTTCTTCTGCTGAACATTCACTACTATTATTACAATACTTTCACATCTTACGAAGGAAGGGTAAGGAAGTAAAAATTGCAAGAAAAAACAGTTCTAGGGGAATCTATGGTTCTGAGGCCAAAACAATACAAACTTATTTATTGCTAATATGAGGGATACACTGATGTGTTTTTACCACATGAAATGATCCTGGATTTGCAAATGTAGTGAGCAGAGAATCAATCATAAACAGTATCATTATATGTGTCTCTCTCTCTACATTTTTAAATTGCAAAGTTTAAGCTCAGTATGTTTATGCTTGGGGCCTCTTAAACTAATGAGCTTGGTAAATTAAGAGAAGTAGTGGAAAATATTTACAAAAACTCATTAAATCTGTAGATGATACTGATCTATTACAACACAGAACTAATAATTTTGTCTTCAGTAAAAGGAGAAGAGGGAGAAAGGTTACAGAAACAAAAACTAGAAATAAAAGGTGTAGCACAAAATACAGATTTCTATTTATATAAAATATTTACAGATGGTTTTTGCATTGAAGCATTATGAGAATATGCTGCAATTTAAGATTACAGAATATCGAAGAAATACATTCATACAATATGTGTTCAAGAAAGCAGAAAGAAAAATTAAACTGAGATGTATATACCTCCGCTCTCATTCACTCTAAGATCGGATATTAGAAACTTAGTTCACATGACAACACAAGACTGAGCAGCTTTGTAGTTCTTTGCTCACTTCCTCTTCTCTCCCTCACAAAAATCACAGTTCAAAATAATTTAATTTAATTTGTACAAAAATGTATGCAAAACTTTGCATCAACAACTAACAATATTTTCATTCAGTAGAAAATAAAATGTCTCTATGCCTCCAATTTTCTGTAAAGAACGTAGTATTCAAAGTATTTTCTGTCATCCATGGCATTGGATAATTTAACTTGCAGTGGAACAAATCGTTTCGCTTATCTCCCACAAGGAGCAGTCACTTCATTCCTCCTTTGAGAAATGCAAGATAATCAATATAACAAGCACAAAAAGCAGGAACTTCTGCTCTTATTTTTCATTTCAGAGAATATCTGGACTAATATTTGATGCATAGTGTACCGATGTTGGGGAGCAGCTGAATGCATGCGAAAACTCTTGCAATTGTTTCAGAACCGCTGGCAATCTGAAAGGAGAAAGTATTTCAGTCGAACTTGATTCTTATTGTATATTTACTCTTAAGAAACAATAACATATCTCAATTTTTAATCCAAAATTAAGTTATTTCTTAATTTGAAATTAATGGACTTTCAAACAAGTGAAGTTAAAAAAACAACTTTGTTTGGTAACATTTTATTTTCACATTACAAACTAAAAAAAATAATTAAAGTATATTTGAGGCATTCTGGGCTGCAAGGGTGAACTCAACGTATTTTTTATTTAGCTCAACTATTTTTTTTATGTCACCCCTAGTCTTCAAGCATCTCTCGAAGGATGCCACAATGTTTATAACATACACAGAAAAATTGTTCCACTTGTTCATGACCCTGTTAAAAAAGAAGTGTATGCAATGATTGTGTATGCATGCATGTGTTCATGTTCGTTTGAAGAATTTTACGAAGACTCTGTGATAACTACTCTTTTCGAGAGTTTCACATTTTGATGGTTTCTAGTTGTCAATAATCTGAGAGATTTTTGCTATTTTTCTACATTTTTTTCAAGAAGGAAATGCCTTTTTAGTAGTCAGGGGATCAGACCACACTTCTGTTCTCCTTAATAGGTCTCGCATAAGTGCAATTCAACATCCATAGTAGAAAAGTTCCACCTCAGTGAATAGTGAACATTCACTTTTTTTTTTTGATGATGACTGCTCATTGTTTTTCAATTTAAGGTCCTGAGATAAAATCACTCCCAAATCATTCCCAGTCTTAGAAGGTTCAACAAAACTTTGCAAATACACGTTGCATTTCAAGATTCACTTTCCCAAGTTATGATACCTTGCTTTGCTATCTTGTTTGTAACAAGTTCACCCTTCCTATCTGGAATGCCTCCTTTTTTTGTCTCCTGTAAAATTCCAAAATTCCTAATTTGGAGACTCAAAATATTGTTCTTGGGTAAAAGTGTATTGACATATGATACCTACAATTGACTACCGTTCAAATGCTGACTAGTTGTAAGATCAATATCCATCTGTTGTGGAGTGGATTTCGAGCACAGACTCTGAAATTAAAAAAGTTAGATTTAAGGATTGCTGTAGCAACTGCATTATCAGACATAAAAATTACAGTAAGTATATGATTTTGGTGACTATTCTTTCAAGCTTGAAAAATTGTCTTACTTGTGCATGTGTTAGAAAAAACAGTTGTTCACTTTCATACGATTCCATGGCTGGCTGATGCAAGTGGGGCATGCTGGAGAGGGCCTCTGAAAGAGCCTGGAAATTGAATAATAATTAATTGAGACTAGACTTTCAGGCATTTATTTTATCTAAAATAGGCAGGCAAATGGGTATTTATTTTTACTAAAATAGGCATGAGAAAAGACATTTATTCTAGCTAAAGTAGGGGTGCCAAGTCTTGTAAACAATGAACGACCTCATTCAAACAGAATTATTGTAAAAAATGAATAATTAAAATAATTCACATTTTTATTCTAACTCTAAATTAGCTCTTAAAGTGAAAGGGAAAAATCTTTCCTTTGTAATTGTGACCATCCAATAGGATGTCTACAAACTTGTTTTATTTGCGAAGCTGTCTCTTCAAAACTGCATTATGGACTCTCTTTTGAATCTTAAAATGACATCAGTGAAAATAAAATTACATTTTTAGTTTCTTTGCGTAATTGCCAGCACTGGAAAGGCAAGACAGCAGGGTATATCATACACATGAGAGCTGCTGTCCAAAGTGATTTGAAGCCATACTGAAAGTAGGATGGGGTTCTTCACGAGTAATAAAAAAGCCTGTCAGCATCAATGGAAAAAAAAAACAACAACTTTTTACCCAGCCTATGCTTCTACAGAATGATAAAATATGACTGTGCTTTTGTGTTGCCTAGGCTTAAAGGTATATATCCAGCTTGATTAAAATATTTGTTTGGAGGGGAAAAAAACAAAATAATAATGTGAAAGGCAGAAAAATGCAAAATAACACCAAATGGCAAAAATAGGCAAAATAAAAATCTTCTCAAACAACTCCAAAAGCACAATTAAGTGATCCCTATTGCCAAAAATCAGGAGATAGTTCAACCTACTAATGTTCAACATACATGGTAACCAATAAATGACCTGAGAATCCTCTGGGAAGAGCGAAGATGGATGATCTTGTGAAATTATTACTAATGTTTATACTGTATAAATAATATTTACTATTTTTTTTCAATTTCTCTTTTGTGAAGATTTTGATGCATTATTATTTTAAAAATCTATGACACAAATAAATAACCAATTGAATAATAATCTAATATGAAATTTACTTCATTATTAATTTTTTTTTATATTATTATAAAATATGGCTTTACCATTAAAAAAAAAAACAAGTTTCCAACCCCACTCAAGATCTCCCTTCAAGCAGTTTCTGGATTCATACCTGTCTGAAAGCTCAGTACTTGAAACAGGGTATTCTGACCCCTTGTAGTTTCCTTTTGTTATTAAAACTACTTAACTGCTAAGTTTGTGAGCTTCAATATCAGAAAGTATTAATACTGCACTTTTTTGTCTTCCTCCTCATGTTAAGAAATTTTTGTTACTATAAAATATGTCATAATCCCTTTTTCTCCAAGCATCCAAAACTATCAAATTTCATATTTATTAAAGAAATTATAAAATGTGAATTTTGATAAAATATGACATTGCTAAAAATTACCATGTGAGCTTGACGCAACGCTGCAATGTGAATCACAGACGTTAAAGCAGTTTTATTTGCTACATCTTGACTTGCTATTCCATTTTGCACCACATCTCTGACAACAAATGCTTTGGCTCTCCTTACAGTTGTTGCTGAATGATTCACAACTGTGCTGTTTTCATTGAGCAACACTCCTTCACCATCAAATAGAATGTTCGGTGGTAAAACAGCAGATACTACGGCATAAGCAATTTCGACTCCTAAACCACCATATTGTACAGACCTGTTGGGAAACCAGAACAAATTATTCCACATACAAAAATTCTACTTAGCTCAGTTTGAGTGTTCTAATTGTACTGGTTGTCAGAACTTTAAAGGGGGGTTTAATAATTAAGACACATCATAGTTCCATCATTGCTATAGAAACAAACAGTACTTTATGAAAAAGACATTGTGACAGAAAGATGTACAGTGAAACTTGTTTTCAGTGGTCAATTATGATTCTGGAAAAAATAGTGATTGCAAAGGTGTCCACTTAATGAAGGTGATGAGAATATGGGAAGCAGACATTCTAACTAATTTTGTTTCCAATGAAGTGAGGTATGCTTTGGTGAATAATGCATTTTAGTTTAAGTGTTTACACCTCAATTTTAAAATACCCATAGCTTTTCTTCATGAGTGCACTTAACTTGTATTCAAAATATTTTAGTTCCTGACACATGCACCATTTTCTTTTTCACACAATTAGTAGTTTCTTCTCACAAAGAGACTTTATTTTCAATTAGATTTAAAACTTCAATTCACATTTTGGAGAATCTTCACAGCATGCATGAAAATCATGTTATGTGATATAGAAATCATTACCCCCATGAGATAAGTAACCCTAGATATCATTATTTTATATAATTTGAAATTGCATAGGTATTATAAAGGTAAATTCTGAATCAACAGTAATCTCCACCAGTTTTCTAATTTCTATAGCATGATTGGATAAAAATTGTGATTAAAATTGTGGAAGTTATCACAGTTTAACACAGATTAATCGACAAAATACTCCAGGCTGCTGATCGTGCTGCCAGGTGACCACTTTTAAGAGTATTTACATTTGTTGATCAATTTGTTTCACAAAGAAATTGCTGTTAATGGAGGCAGTGCCAGAGCTAGACAATTTTGGGTCCGGGACAATGCTGAAAGATAGCTAAAGATAAGATTAATAGCAAAAATGTGTACATTGAGTACAAAAGTTAACAGACTTGTAATAATAAATATAGTATAGTATAATAATAATAATTATTATTATAATTAATTGCAGCCAACTAAGGCAAGTGGAAATTGCAATTATGTCAGAAGAGAAACTTAATTTTGTTTAAATTCCGATCAAGAAAGTAAGGAATTAGAAAAGTATTTTGATATTAGATGTTTAGTACATGTATTTATTTGAAACTGAGAATTTGGATCTTTGTCGCATTAATATTGAAAACTTTTACTTACGTAGGGTACTGTGGATTATAAAGTGGAGGAGATAGCATCCACTGAGGCACCACAATTTTATTTGCCGTGGGTATATATGCTACATTTTTGCCTACAGCAGCATCAATCCATCTGAAAAATCACACATTTTACAAAACGGTGATCTTCTTAACATAATATTATTTCATAAATTTCCATGTGGCATTTATTTCTAAGTTTCAGATCTTTAAGTTTGAATCTCTTCTCATTGTAAGCTTATATTTACAAATATGTGTCTGTGCGCGCATGCACCTGTGCATGCACGTGTGCGAAATTATGAATAAAGATAAAGATAAATATAGTAACAAGTATTGTTGGTAACATTTGATAAAAAGAAAAGTCTGCTCACTCATAGTAGAAACTATTTGCATTGGCAAGTCACTATGGATTAGATTTCATTTGCTGTCATGTGCATTCAATACTGCTGTCAAAATAACTACCCATTCGTACAACATTACTACATAGAAGGTGAAGACTCAGAGCAAATTGTGAATTTACATTTACTTCAAAAAAGCAAGGGTCCATCTCAGCATTTGTGTAATGGATGAAAAATCTGACAGAGGTGGGGGTCATAACATACT